TCTGGGTCACGTGCTGCTCAGCATCAGTTGGTCTCTGGACCACGTGCTGCTCAGCATCAGCTGGTCTCTGGATCACGTGCTGCTCAGCATCAGTTGGTCTCTGGGTCACGTGCTGCTCAGCATCAGTTGGTCTCTGGATCACGTGCTGCTCAGCATCAGTTGGTCTCTGGATCACGTGCTGCTCAGCATCAGCTGATATATGGATCACGTGCTGCTCAGCATCAGCTGATATATGGATCACGTGCTGCTCAGCATCAGCTGATATATGGATCATGTGCTGCTCAGCATCAGCTGATATATGGATCACGTGCTGCTCAGCATCAGCTGATATATGGATCACGTGCTGCACAGCATCAGCTGATATATGGATCACGTGCTGCACAGCATCAGCTGATATATGGATCACGTGCTGCTCAGCATCAGCTGATATATGGATCACGTGCTGCTCAGCATCAGCTGATATATGGATCACGTGCTGCTCAGCATCAGCTGATATATGGATCACGTGCTGCTCAGCATCAGCTGATATATGGATCACGTGCTGCTCAGCATCAGCTGATCTATGGATCACGTGCTGCTCAGCATCAGCTGATATATTGATCACGTGCTGCTCAGCATCATCTGGTCTCTGTATCACGTGCTGCTCAGCATCATCTGGTCTCTGTATCACGCGCTGCTCAGCATCATCTGGTCTCTGTATCACGTGCTGCTCAGCATCATCTGGTCTCTGTATCACGCGCTGCTCAGCAACAGTTGGTCTCTGTATCACGCGCTGCTCAGCATCAGTTGGTCTCTGTATCACGTGCTGCTCAGCATCAGCTGGTCTCTGTATCACGTCCTGCTCAGCATCAGTTGGTCTCTGGGTCACGTGCTGCTCAGCATCAGTTGGTCTCTGGGTCACGTGCTGCTCAGCATCAGTTGGTCTCTGGGTCACGTGCTGCTCAGCATCAGTTGGTCTCTGGGTCACGTGCTGCTCAGCATCAGTTGGTCTCTGGACCACGTGCTGCTCAGCATCAGCTGGTCTCTGGATCACGTGCTGCTCAGCATCAGTTGGTCTCTGGGTCACGTGCTGCTCAGCATCAGTTGGTCTCTGGATCACGTGCTGCTCAGCATCAGTTGGTCTCTGGATCACGTGCTGCTCAGCATCAGTTGGTCTCCAACGGAAATTGAACTATCGACAATTTTGATTAATTCTTAAAAAACTGGCCAGCTGCTCCGTCCCTTGCAATACTGAGTCAGTGGTGGGGCCACTGAGTCAGTGGTGGGGCCACTGAGTCAGTGGTGGGGCCACTGACTCAGTGGTGGGGCCAGTGAGTCAGTGGTGGGGCCACTAAGTCAGTGGTGGGGCCACTGAGACAGTGGTGTGGCCACTAAGTCAGTGGTGGGGCCACTAAGTCAGTGGTGTGGCCACAGAATGCCAGGGTTGGTATACTCTTAGATAGTTACACGACCTGACCTCCTCCCACCACCGGCTAGACGCCCAGATGGTAAACAAAGACAGAAACATAATCATTCGTGAGTCAGATACATGATCCATAATGACACACACATACAATTGTGTGTCTGATCACGTCCTTGTGGCATGGTCTGCGTTAAACAGTTTAGAGTAAACCGGGCCGGCCTGCCCAGAGCGTGTAGAGCAAGATCTTCACCCACAAAGGAGCTCAAACATGCTACTGAAAGCCCGCCTGTGTCCCTCACTCTGGCTTGTGGATGTCAGAATAACAGGGAGGCGAGAATGTGTGCAGCGCTCATTAGGGAGGTCCCGAGCTCCAGAGGTACCCAGCATCAGTAAGTTATGAGCAGGGAAGCTGCTCCCGTGTCTAGGGGAGGGAGGGAAGCTGCTCCTGTGTCTAGGGGAGGGAGGGAACCTGCTCCCGTGTCTAGGGGAGGGAGGGAACCTGCTCCCGTGTCTAGGGGAGGGAGGGAACCTGCTCCCGTGTCCAGGGGAGGGAGGGAACCTGCTCCCGTGTCTAGGGGAGTGAGGGAACCTGCTCCCGTGTCCAGGGGAGGGAGGGAACCTGCTCCCGTGTCTAGGGGAGGGAGGGAACCTGCACCCGTGTCCAGGGGAGGGAGGGAACCTGCTCCCGTGTCTAGGGGAGGGAGGGAACCTGCTCCCGTGTCTAGGGGAGGGAGGGAACCTGCTCCCGTGTCCAGGGGAGTGAGGGAACCTGCTCCCGTGTCCAGGGGAGGGAGGGAACCTGCTCCCGTGTCTAGGGGAGGGAGGGAACCTGCTTCCGTGTCCAGGGGAGGGAGGGAAGCTGCTCCCGTGTCCAGGGGAGGGAGGGAACCTGCTCCCGTGTCTAGGGGAGTGAGGGAACCTGCTCCCGTGTCTAGGGGAGGGAGGGAACCTGCTCCCGTGTCCAGGGGAGGGAGGGAACCTGCTCCCGTGTCTAGGGGAGTGAGGGAACCTGCACCCGTGTCTAGGGGAGGGAGGGAGGGAGGCTGGTCCCGTGTCTAGGGGAGGGAGGGAACCTGCTCCCGTGTCTAGGGGAGGGAGGGAAGCTGCTCCCGTGTCTAGGGGAGGGAGGGAAGCTGCTCCTGTGTCTAGGGGAGGGAGGGAACCTGCTCCCGTGTCTAGGGGAGGGAGGGAACCTGCTCCCGTGTCCAGGGGAGGGAGGGAAGCTGCTCCCGTGTCCAGGGGAGGGAGGGAACCTGCTCCCGTGTCTAGGAGGAGGGAGTGAACCTGGCCGCATGTATTAACGGAGAAAGTGAGGGATAATATTTTCCACTACTATTTTCCATTATTTTCACTTTTATTTCCACTATTAACCCTATTATAATATTGACTGTTTTCAAGTTGTTTACAGATGGTAGTTGTGATGAGACTTGCTGATTTGTGAGACTTTACTTCAATTGATGTCAAATTGACCGATATTTACGAAATATGCAAAACATGACGAAGCTTTTTTTTCAGTTTTACAGTCTTTAAAGCCGTTACAAATTCTTATTTGTATTATTATTGGCTGTATTAGTGTACGGTTGCTTAATAAGTTCCTCCATAGTAAACACTGTGAGTTACCCTATCCTAGGGAGCCGGTCGGCCGAGCGAACAGCACGCGGGACTTGTGATCCTATGGTCCTGGGTTCGATCCCAGGCGCCGGCGAGAAACAATGGGCAGAGTTTCTTTCACCCTATGCCCCTGTTACCTAGCAGTAAAATAGGTACCTGGGTGTTAGTCAGCTGTCACGGGCTGCTTCCTGGGGGTGGAGGCCTGGTCGAGGACCGGGCCGCGGGGACACTAAAGCCCCGAAATCATCTCAAGATAACCTCAAGATAGATCCTCTCCACCTCCATATGTATATTAAACTGCAGATAAGATGTAAAGGTTTTTGTTAAATACCTTTACACAATACTTAGGAAATTCAGAAATTGTTTGTCAATAACAATTACTCATCCCTATACTTTATTCGATATATGTGAAGACTTTCCCTCCCCTCATATCTGCACTTAATAACATAATCCAGAACTGTAAACTGTGTACCCCCAACGTCAGAGCCATTATTGGTGTTATGCGGAACACAACAGTGAAGAGCACTCACTGCTCCACAAGGCCTCAATATAGCGGAATAACACTAACAAGCACAAACTGCCTCGCTAGTCTGCCAACACTCGCCAGGTCTATCTTGCAGTGAATGTAATAATGTTTTCACATTTTTCTGTAGTTTTTCTAGTTTTTTTTTTACATCCTGCATAATTTTGTTATGTTTAATTCATGAAGAAGTTAACACGCGATGAATAATGTGAAAACGTATAACCACGAAGGAAAAATTAACAAAAAATTATTTGAGCGTTTTAGTGTAAATCAATCATTATCAAAAATATAAAAAAGCAATATTTACTTAAAATACTCATATGGTATTCATGTGAAAGCGAATACTCATTCGTATTTAGAGTCAAACACGCGTTTTTCTCTGAATACCCTTTGTTGTCTTCGCTGAGGTTATGGGTCCCTACAATTGCACCAGTGGTGGTACCCCTTTACACTTAAAATATAAAGGCAGGAAAAAGAAAGGTGATGTATGTGGTGAAAAACATGTCTTTACAATCTTTGTTTCTTGAGTGTTTTAGTAATGCACATCACTCTGACCTTTGACCCCTGAATGAGTCCAAAGTTTGCATTACTTTACAAAGCGTATTGTAAATGCAGTCTTGCTTATTACTTTAATTCTGTTTCTTCTAAGGCTTACTGGCACTTCTCTCTCAACAAATATCAGTAGCTAAAAAACTGTATAAGGAAACCCAAACGTATTAGAGCTCTCGGTCACGGAGCCCGAAGAAAAATCTGACATTTACATTTTTGACACAACGTCTACAAACAATATTTCGCCCCCGTGGCGCAGCGTTCCCAATGCTCACAAAATATTTTTTGTTTTACTTTTAAAATCTGCTAATCCTTGAGCTCTGAAACCTGCCGAGTAATCCTATTGTCACTGGCGGATGAGGATTTGATGGGCTCCTGGACCCTCACCCGTCATGGTCTGGCCACCACCTGGACCCTCACCCGTCATGGTCTGGCCACCACCTGGACCCTCACCCGTCATGGCCTGTCCACCACCTGGACCCTCACCCGTCATGGCCTGGCCACCACCTGGACCCTCACCCGTCATGGTCTGCCCACCACCTGGACCCTCACCCGTCATGGTCTGGCCACCACCTGGACCCTCACCCGTCATGGCCTGAGGCTCACCCGTCATAGAGTGACACCAAACATGAGGCAACATAACAAAAGTTACGTTATATATTTGGGACTCTCAAGGCACCGAGATATTACTCAAAAATGCAACTTGTACACGTTACCCGGACACTGTCTGGGGAGTGAGGAGTGTTCTCTTCACAACACAACACAACACAACACAACACGTCACACCATAATCACTAATAATTCTATTTTTCATTTTCCTTCATAATTGGAGTTAGGTAAACGAACTATTAAATAAATTAGCTAAACGAATTGTTAAATAAAGAAACCATGTCAATAAGTCAACGTGGGGTTGTTTTAGCAGCTCGGAGAGTAGCGTTCAGCACTCCAGGAGGACTGATGCGGTGCGAGCTGGTCGTGCGGCTGGCAGCGCTGAGGCTGGTCGTGCGGTTGGCAGCGCTGAGGCTGGTCGTGCGGCTGGCAGCGCTGAGGCTGGTCGTGCGCTGCCTGAGGCTGGTCGTGCGGCTGGCAGCGCTGAGGCTGGTCGTGCGGCTGGCAGCGCTGAGGCTGGTCGTGCGGCTGGCAGCGCTGAGGCTGGTCGTGCGGCTGGCAGCGCTGAGGCCGGTCGTGCGGCTGGCAGCGCTGAGGCTGGTCGTGTGGCTGGCAGCGCTGAGGCTGGTCGTGCGCTGCCTGAGGCTGGTCGTGCGGCTGGCAGCGCTGAGGCTGGTCGTGCGGCTGGCAGCGCTGAGGCTGGTCGTGCGGCTGGCAGCGCTGAGGCTGGTCGCGTGGCTGGCAGCGCTGAGACTGGTCGTGCGCTGCCTGAGGCTGGTCGTGCGGCTGGCAGCGCTGACGAAGCACCGCCAGGAATATCTACATAATTAACAGTGACGCCTAAAGCTGTGGTGTGACCCGTGGGTGCACTCCATGTGGCACCACTCTCCCCAACCACACCCCATGTGGCACCACTCCCGAACCACACCCCATGTGGCACCACTCTCCCCAACCACACCCCATGTGGCACCACTCCCCAACCACACCCCATGTGGCACCACTCTCCCCAACCACACCCCATGTGGCACCACTCCCCAACCACACCCCATGTGGCACCACTCCCCAACCACACCCCATGTGGCACCACTCCCCAACCACACCCCATGTGGCACCACTCTCCCCAACCACACATGTTAGAACATACACAGATATAATTATATAATTTTCTATATATTAAGATTTCGTCAATATATAACATGTAACAATATTAATAATGCAAGGGTATAACCGGTAATAGCAAGAAGGAAGAAATCATTGCATCATGCAAAATATATATTGCAATGATCTTGCACCGATCACATTGTGGTGCTCTCGGGAGGACTTATTTCTCACAAAGTGTTGGAGTTATTTACATTCTAAGATCCTTATTCTTAGCATCCTGGCCTGGTTGATAGTGCAACGGTTTTGTGCTTTTTTGGTTCGAGTTTATCCCCCAATTGTTCTCTCTCTCTCTCTCTCTCTCTCTCTCTCTCTCTCTCTCTCTCTCTCTCTCTCTCTCTCTCTCTCTCTCTCTCTCTCTCTCTCTCTCTCTCTCTCTCCTTGCCTCATTCTCTCTCTCAACTTTTATCCCTGCTTCAATCCCTCTCTCAATCTTTCACTCTGCCTCAGTCTCTCAACTTGCCTCCCCCTCCACAGTCAGTCACAAACTGACCAAGAAAACGCTGCCGAACCTGGCGTCAGCACACGGCTGTTCCACGCCTCCTCAACCCTAGCTCAACTGTTGCCGGTAAAGTCCCACTTGCTGCTTCCAGCCCTGGTACTCGCATGCTAACCTCAACTTGTGTTGCTGACGCAGGTAATGCGACGAGTGAGCCAATAACCTTCAAATTAATGAGTGAGTTGACGTTACCAAGCATTACATTATACTCGCGCTTTTTGTTTCCGGCGACGGAGCTCAATATGAGTAGTCGGCCAGTAGGGTGATAATTTAGTCCGCTTGAGTTGAGGTGTGAGGAGGGTGCAGGCTGGCTTCATCACCGATCAGGATATTTATTTCCTGTTTTGTTCCTCGTCTCTTTTCCGTTCTGGAAACTGGTCTTAGTCCTGTTTCTCTTATCAGTATGCTAGATTTTTACCTATAAGAGCTAACTACCCTAATTTCTCTCTCTCATCACACACAGAGATCACACTAACGTGATGCATCAAATGAACAAATCCACATAGCTCAGTCGATTAAGGCAGTGTCTGGGATGCTCCCGGGCGCAGGTTCGAATCCTCGTCACGGCCCTTGTGGATTTGTTCTCTCTCTCATTTTCCTTTACAAATATTTCAAACACAATACTTCAAAAAGCACTGGAAGGTGAAGGAGAGAGCCAGCAGTGCTGATCATCAGCACAACATCTTGCCTCTTTAGAACGGTCTCAGTTCAGGTGAGCGACTCTGGCAAGCCTGAGACCAATCACTTCTTACTTATGGGCAGGAAACGTCAGGGCGAGCGGCGTGGCCCCTCAGACCCAATATTAAAGTGGGTCTCGTACATTTTCCTATCGACCTGGACCCCAGCACTCGTGGGGAGGGAGTGTGTGTATATACTGGGGCTGTGTGGCTTTCTATAACTCCAGCAAGAGTTTACGAGCTTGATTATAAGAAGTCTACGACCCAACACGATAAGTGTAAACGAGAAAGAAAAAGGTATTTTCTTTTTGTTTTAAACCGGCTTCGATATTTTGTAGTAACTTCCCACAAAAGTCTACGGTCTGGACACGAATCAAATCCTAAACAGGAGCGTGCAGTCATCACGATTTTATTTATTACAGACTTTTACTGAAGACTCACAAGGCTCGGAGGGCGTCAGCAGCGAAGGGCTCAGAAGTATTCAAGTCCCACATGACTCGAATTCGATCAAGTCGTTGAATAGGAAGGATTTCTCCCCCTTCCTCCCCCCCCGTCGACTTTGACTCTCTGTTGAATAGGATCTTTCTCCATTGACTCTTTCTCTATTGAATAAGAAGGATCTCTTCTTTGACTCGTTCTTATTAATCCTACTTCTATGTTCATACGCCAATCCTGGCGGTGAAGCTGCCTCCTGTCATCCCGTGTCTACCTGTGAAGCTGGCTCCTGTCACCCAGTGTCTACCTGTGAAGCTGGCTCCTGTCACCCAGTGTCTACCTGTGAAGCTGGCTCCTATCACCCAGTGTCTACCTGTGAAGCTGGCTCCTGTCACCCAGTGTCTACCTGTGAAGCTGGCTCCTGTCTCCCCGTGTCTACCTGTGAAGCTGGCTCCTGTCTCCCCGTGTCTACCTGTGAAGCTGGCTCCTGTCTCCCCGTGTCTAGCTGTGAAGCTGGCTCCTGTCTCCCCGTGTCTACCTGTGAAGCTGGCTCCTGTCTCCCCGTGTCTGCCTGTGAAGCTGGCTCCTGTCTCCCCGTGTCTAGCTGTGAAGCTGGCTCCTGTCTCCCCGTGTCTACCTGTGAAGCTGGCTCCTGTCACCCAGTGTCTACCTGTGAAGCTGGCTTCTGTCTCCCCGTGTCTACCTGTGAAGCTGGCTCCTGTCTCCCCGTGTCTACCTGTGAAGCTAGCTCCTGTCTCCACGTGTCTACCTGTGAAGCTGGCTCCTGTCACCCAGTGTCTACCTGTGAAGCTGGCTCCTGTCTCCCGTGTCTACCTGTGAAGCTGGCTCCTGTCTCCCCGTGTCTACCTGTGAAGCTGGCTCCTGTCTCCCCGTGTCTAGCTGTGAAGCTGGCTCCTGTCTCCCCGTGTCTACCTGTGAAGCTGGCTCCTGTCACCCAGTGTCTACCTGTGAAGCTGGCTCCTGTCTCCCCGTGTCTACCTGTGAAGCTGGCTCCTGTCTCCCCGTGTCTACCTGTGAAGCTGGCTCCTGTCTCCCCGTCTAGCAATTGGTGAACCAGTAACCCACAACACATTTAGTTAACCAATCATTAAAATGTGTATTATGAAAGTTTCGTGCACTAAACATTCTGACTAAGAGTTTATGCTCAGCGTGACTCAGCACTCCACAACAGAATGATTTCCATTAACAACACGAGAATTTACTGTTTACGAAAGATTGTTTTAAAATTCCAAGTAATGTAGTGGAAGCTAGATGTTGGGTGCTGGGTGTTGGGTGCTGGGTGCTGGGTGTTGGGTGTTGGGTGCTGGGTGTTGGGTGCTGGGTGCTGGGTGTTGGGTGTTGGGTGCTGGATGTTGGGTGCTGGGTGTTGGGTGCTGGGTGCTGGGTGTTGGGTGCTGGGTGTTGGGTGCTGGGTGTTGGGTGCTGGGTGCTGGGTGTTGGGTGTTGGGTGTTGGGTGCTGGGTGTTGGGTGTTGGGTGCTGGGTGTTGGGTGCTGGGTGCTGGGTGTTGGGTGCTGGGTGTTGGGTGCTGGGTGCTGGGTGTTGGGTGCTGGGTGTTGGGTGCTGGGTGTTGGGTGCTGGGTGTTGGGTGTTGGGTGTTGGGTGTTGGGTGCTGGGTGCTGGGTGTTGGGTGCTGGGTGCTGGGTGTTGGGTGCTGGGTGTTGGGTGCTGGGTGTTGGGTGCTGGGTGCTGGGTGTTGGGTGCTGGGTGCTGGGTGTTGGGTGTTGGCTGTTGGGTGTTGGGTGCTGGGTGTTGGGTGCTGGGTGTTGGGTGTTGGGTGCTGGGTGTTGGGTGTTGGGTGTTGGGTGCTGGGTGTTGGGTGCTGGGTGTTGGGTGCTGGGTGTTGGGTGTTGGGTGCTGGGTGCTGGGTGTTGGGTGTTGGGTGTTGGGTGCTGGGTGCTGGGTGCTGGGTGTTGGGTGCTGGGTGTTGGGTGTTGGGTGTTGGGTGCTGGGTGTTGGGTGCTGGGTGTTGGGTGCTGGGTGTTGGGTGTTGGGTGCTGGGTGCTGGGTGTTGGGTGCTGGGTGTTGGCTGTTGGGTGCTGGGTGTTGGGTGTTGGGTGTTGGGTGCTGGGTGCTGGGTGCTGGGTGTTGGGTGCTGGGTGTTGGCTGTTGGGTGCTGGGTGCTGGGTGTTGGGTATTGGGTGCTGGGTGTTGGGTGTTGGGTGTTGGGTGCTGGGTGCTGGGTGTTGGGTGCTGGGTGCTGGGTGTTGGGTGTTGGATGTTGGGTGTTGGGTGCTGGGTGTTGGGTGCTGGGTGCTGGGTGTTGGGTGTTGGGTGCTGGGTGTTGGCTGCTGGGTGTTGGGTGCTGGGTGTTGGGTGCTGGGTGTTGGGTGCTGGGTGCTGGGTGTTGGGTGCTGGGTGTTGGGTGCTGGGTGCTGGGTGTTGGCTGCTGGGTGTAGGGTCCTAACAGCCGAAGCCTGGGAACACTCACAACTGAAGGAAGACATGTAATTCCATACACACAAGAATTAAAGCATATCAGTTAGCTAGAGGTAAACTGGTATAAGCAATGCACTTTTTTTATTCAGTGGCACGAAAGTTTTCATTTCATTACCGATATAGTTTACATTTAATACCAGAAAAGTTGTGTTTGCACCCTGCGAAAGTTTCGTTTTAAACCGGAAAAGTAGTTTTAACATTACCTTGAAAGCTTCGTTCATTACCCTAACACCTCTCTTTTACCCACAAAAACTACATTTATTGAACAGTTCTGTTTTTCACGCAAACGTTTTATAGTTTTTGGAAAAATTGAATTTTTTCGATAAAAGCGAAAACATGTTTAAGATAAAATGTTAAATTAAACGCAGGAAAATAATTTAGCAGACATAATAATAAATTAAATTGTTATAAACTCGTCAATTTTTATGCCGGAAATGTTTCTGAAACTTCTTGCACGAGACATTATAAACTGTAATTATATGAATGTTTCGCTGACAGGAGACGGGTACAGGAGGATATTGTGTTGTGCCACCAGTGTTGAGACGGGTACAGGAGGATATATTGTGC